AAAGGGGGGTTTTTCGACGGCAGTTGCAGCGAAGGGAAACTGTGAATGGAGTGAATCTGTGATAGCTATTGGCGTGGGCATCCAGATGCGGGGCACGCCCACGCGCGGGTGTTAGAGTAGGGACGGGGGAGGGAGGAGCGGGAGGCGTGAAAGTGTTGTGATTATCATTTCAGGCGTAGGACGTGTACAGAGATGGGCTGTTTCCCATGCTTCGACTCTAAACCGAAGGAGAGGAAGCCGCTGAAGAGGGACGACAACAACAGCAGCCGTGATGGGCAATCGGCAGCTGCCAACCCCGTCGCGCAAATCTCCAAGCTTCCCTCAGGTACGTGTGGTGCATCTGTCATGTGCGTCCGTGCGCCTGGTAGGAGAGTGTGAGCGCGAAATCGGTAGGATGTTGGTCGGCAGGGCGCATGCTGGTGCGGTGGAGCGTGATCCTGGTGGGTTATGGTTAGGGTAGGGCGAATCTTGTTTGGCGTGGCAGTGCGATTGGGTGGTGGGGGGAGGGGGTCTGCATTGAGCGGTGGTTCGATTATGGTGCTGGTGACATCTGGGGTGCGGTCACGTGAGAGCTGTTGGTCTTGTGAGTGGACGGGACGGGGCGCTAAGAATGGCGGGGATGGATGATGCGGGTGGGCTGTGGGAGCGAATGTGATTGGATGCGTGAGGCTTAGGGGAACGAGAGCGTGAGTTTTACGAGGCAGGTGTGGTTGGGGCTGGGGTGAGCTAGTTTTGGGGGAGAAAAAAGGGCAGCATCCCGTTGGTGGAGCTGGCATGCGACTTGCTAGGGTGGAATGGAGTGATGCGATGTGTTGGTTTATGTTTGGTGAGGTGCGAGCGGAAGGGACGAGTGGGCCAGGAGAGGGAGTATGACCTAATTTGGGTTGTGTGCGTGGGTCGGATGTCGCAATTGACGCGGTGGTGGGTGCGAATCTGACGCGGGGAGTTTGGTTGGTGTCGGTGTGGTTGTTGGGGGCTGTCAGGTAACTCGAAGAAATACGACGCGAAGGGGTCTTTCGATAAGAAGGAGCCGCAGCGCGAAGGGAGCACGCACATCGCCGCTCAGACTTTCACGTTCCGCGAGCTAGCTGCGGCGACGAAGAATTTCAGACCGGAGTGTTTGTTGGGCGAGGGAGGCTTCGGTCGCGTGTACAAGGGGCGTCTGGAGAACACCGGGCAGGCAAGTGGAGAAAAGTGGTTTTGTGAGTGGAGAGAAGGGCATGCTGGGCGGAACGGAGTGGCGTGAGGGTTTTCGGGGTTGAAATTATGGTGCGGAATGGGGTGGGTGAGGCTATTAGAGGGCGAGCAGCAGATGAATTGGGCGGAGGACGAGGCTGAGGGGTGTTGAGTGGGTGGTTGCAGGTGGTGGCAGTGAAGCAGCTGGATCGGAACGGGCTGCAAGGGAACCGAGAGTTTCTGGTAGAAGTGTTGATGCTGAGTCTGTTGCATCATCCGAATCTCGTAAGCCTGATCGGATACTGCGCCGACGGTGATCAGCGGCTGCTGGTGTACGAGTTCATGCCGTTGGGGTGCTTGGAAGATCATCTTCATGGTAAGGGGCATGTGCAGTGTGGGTGGTTGATGTGCGCGACAAGGAGAGGGGTTGTGAGTGGGGCGTGCGAGGAGGACTGTTGGTAATGCGGAGGGTCGAGATGAGTGGAGTGGGAAATGGGGGTTGGTAGGGTGGAGGAGCGAGGAGGGTGGTGAAGTTGTGGTTGACGTAGCTATGTGGGTGTCGCAGACCTGCCGCAGGACAAAGAGTGCCTGGACTGGAACACTCGGATGAAGATCGCGGCGGGAGCAGCTCGGGGTCTGGAGTACCTGCACGACAAGGCGAACCCACCTGTAATTTATCGGGACTTCAAGAGTTCGAACATATTGCTGGACGAGGGGTTCCATCCGAAGCTGTCGGATTTCGGTCTGGCGAAGCTGGGTCCGGTGGGGGACAAGACGCACGTATCGACGCGGGTGATGGGGACTTACGGGTACTGCGCCCCGGAGTACGCAATGACGGGGCAGCTGACGCTGAAGTCGGACGTGTACAGCTTCGGCGTGGTGTTGCTGGAGCTGATAACGGGGCGGAAGGCGATCGATAATTCTCGGGCGGCCGGGGAGCACAACCTGGTGGCGTGGGTAAGCGGACATCGGTGGAGCATGGATGCAGTGTTGGTGTGTGTGCGTGCGTGCGAATGTGTGTGGGTTGGTGGGCTGAATAGAGCGATGAGAATGGGAGTGGCAATGTAGCATGGGGGCCGGAGATGCGGGGGTTTGTGGTTTTAGTGAAGAGGGTGTCAGTGACGTAGTTGTGAGTTGGGGTAGCTTGCGGGGGTGGGGGAGAGTGGAGTGAATGAGGGATGATATGGAGTTCGTGCATGGCGTGTGATGAAGTGAAGAACTTGACAGGCCGGTGGATTGGGGGCTTGGTGGTGCAGGCTCGGCCGCTGTTCAAGGACAGAAGGAAGTTTCCGTCGATGGCAGATCCGATGCTGCAGGGGCGGTATCCAATGCGCGGGCTGTACCAAGCTCTGGCGGTGGCGGCGATGTGCTTGCAGGAGCAGGCGGCAACGCGGCCTCTGATCGGGGACGTGGTGACAGCGCTGAGCTATCTGGCGTCGCAGATCTACGACCCCGGGGTGCACCCGCTGGGGTCGAGCCGGTTCGCACCGGCGACACCGTCCCGAGAGAAGCGGGAGAAGGAGAAGAAGATGCCGCCGGGTCCGAACGCGATCGAGGAGCGGATGGTGAAGGAGCAGAGAGCTGGGAAAGCAGGACCACGGTCGCCGTCGGTGCGGTCGCAGGCAGCGTCTCCGGACCTGCGGGTGAAGGAGGGAGGGGCGCGAGCGCGGGTGACGAACGGAGTGCTGGAGGAGTCGCGGGGGTCGGAGTCAGGATCGGGGAGGAAGAGGGACTCGGAGGAGTGGGAGAGGCACGAGGGGGGAGGGCGGGACAGCCCCGGATACGCGGGGAGGACGGGGAGGGACGGGCTGAAGCCCCAGGCTCCGACTCGAGAACGCGAGCGAGCGGTGGCGGAGGCACGGGTGTGGGGGGAGAACTGGCGGGAGAGGAAAAGGGGGACGGCTTAGGAGAGTGAGAGTGAGTTGGGGCGGAGTGAAATGGATGTTGTTGGAGACAGGAGCTGGTAGATGTGGGACAGCTGTGGTATTCGAACTGAATAGTCGAGCGTGCCGCATACATAAATTTGATCGCTCTTGAGAGGGAGTCGGTTTGGTTCAGTATTGTGTATCAACGAAGGCATCAGGAATCGCAGCTACAGAAAAAGAAAGAGGAAAAACAAAACAAAAAAAAATTGAAATGCGAACCTTGTTGTGAGAACTTTAGCGAAGGTGTTGCGTGGTGGCTGTCAGTGGATGGCCTGTGGATCGGGTGGAGTGGCGTTGCGGTGACTGATGTTTGGATGGGAATTGGGGTGGCTGAATGCGCACATGATGCATGAGATGCGGCGTGGTTCCTCCCGGACTGTTGGTGGTTGTGTTGGTTGCATTCCTTGCTATGGTATGGGTAATGCAGTGTTGGATGATACGTATTGTGTTTGTTTGAATGATTTGGCGCACAAGTGGCAGGCGAGGATGGGCGCGGGGACCTTTGAACGACTTCGTGTTGGGCGGGGATTTCGTATCGCCCGATGCGAGGATGTGAGACGTGTTCTCAGTTTGCGGCGTTTGGCGCGAACACGGTTGTCAGAGTCGTGAGCCCTCTTTTCGGCGGCGCCGAGGAGTGGGATGTTTTTGGGGGCACCGTTTTTCGTTTTGATGGTCGTTGTGGAACTGTGAGGCATGGATGTGTGCCGGCGCCTGCTGTACCGAATCATGTGTGAAGATTCTCAATCCGGTTTGGAGCTGGTGTGCCATTGTGTCACGCCATTGGCGGGCGTGAACGCCGAAGAGGCTGTGTGCGGGACAGGGTGGCCGCAACGAAGTCTGGGTGTTTTCAATGATACAACGCAAAGGGGCATTTTTGGTTTTGAATCGAACATCGGGTTGTCAGGCTCATAATTTTTTGAATCTGGCAGCTCGAGAGCAGCGTGGCCTCGTTGACAGTGGCAATGTCGGATTGGTCTGGTGAGCCTTCGAGAACGGAGGCTTGACGCGAGGGGGTTTGGCGTCGAATGGTTACTGGGGTGGCAGCTGAGACCGGTAGGTCGGATGAACAGACAACGGAATGGTAGCAGCTTGGACTGCGTCTATACGATGTGGAAAACGAGGTTTGTTTTGGTGAGGTGCGTAGTGTGCGTTTCTGAAAGGGCCGGGAGGGGGGTCAATTAGAGCGTTGGCTGCGCAGTGGGATTCTGCACAAGGGTCGAGGCAGAAGGGGATGAAGGACTTCCCCTGTGTCGAGGAAGCGTTTGAATCTCACATGAACATCGACGCCGCAATGCTCGAAAAGGCCCCCACTGGCCAGCCACAGCACCGAGGGTGGTTATAGGGCTTGCTGCGAGGGATACGCGACAAGAAACCACGTGTGACGGAGAGAAATACGCAACAGAGAGATGCGATGTAGCAAAATGGCTGGCAGAGAATGAGGTGGTGAATGGGAACGTGACAAGAGATGCACGGCCGTAGCATATAAACAAGAGGTTTGGGCATGAGTGATACAGTTGGCAACGTTGGATTATTCGTTTTGATATTTTATATGCGGTGCATCTGAACTGAGTATTTTGAGTGTTTGGATGAGCGCTCTGGCTGTTCTCATGGCGGATTGATCCATGGAGCCATGCTTTGGCGGTACTTGTTTATCTATTTTTGACTTCAGTTGAGATTGCCTATAATTTTTTGAATTTAGTATCTTTTCGACATCTCGCGCTCTCTTTATATGATTGTTTGAGGTTTGAGGCGTTTTTCTTTCGTGAATTACGCCTTGAATGGTATTTAATTTGAGTTGGGTTTGGATTTATGCATTTTTTTCCTCTGCATCCAATGTGGGTTCTCAGCGTTTTATAGTTGAAGGCATCATGTTGTGAATAAGTTTGTGCATAGATTGGTTGTACATGTAGAACATTCTACTCCCTGCCTATCATGCCACTGCCGCTATCCCTTTTCTTACGTAATTGGATTGCAATTAGAAAGTCGATAATCGTAATTAAGTCGATAATTATAATTTTAAATTGTATAGTCAAGTCTTCTATCACCTCACTTATTTATTTTTATTTTAATTATGAATGAGAGTTTTTGAACATCCAAATTTATTGATAATCTATTCATAGAAAAGTTTGGTGTCTTGCTTGGCATAGTTGGCTTTAACTAGTTGCTAGCACTGTGTATTTCAAGCACTGTGTATTTCATTCCACCAGTAGAATTAAGATGAACCTCTGTAATACAATCAATTCTCCATTTTTCGAAGGAAATTAAAGATAAGAATATATAAAGAGATATATAAAGAATATTTAAAGATAAGAATATATAAAGAGACAAATTGATCTTTAGGTCATTCTTTGCATATCATTGACATATATCATAGATTTTAGCATATTTATGCATATCTTGAAATAATATAGGCTTACAATAGATAATTCTAAGGATTTTTTAGTTAGTCAAGGCTCTTAAAAAGTGACCTCTGCATGCACTTTTGTAACATGCTGATAGAATGGTAGGAATTTCTTAACCCATTATACACCTTAATATCTTGTTGACTCCAGATCTATACAATTTGTTTCTAATTATGACAAAGTATCTACTATTGATTTTCACCTTCTTATGTCTTATTTTAAAAAGATGGAAAGAAAGAGCTTAGGTTGTCAAGAATTTGGTAATTAATTCATATCATGCAGTAGTAGTTTAAATAACAAACAAGCTTTTATCTATTAAGGTGTCATCAATTAGGGCATCATCAATATGTTCTAACAACCTAGATAAATGATTTTCTTGCTTGTGCATCTTTCTAGACTTGTATTCTATTGTATAATCAAACTCTTCTAGTAGAAGCATCTACCTTGCAAGTCTATCATTCAAATCTATCTTTTTAATAAGGTAATTGATTGCGATGTGGTTTACAAAAAGTATTACGATGTCGTGTTGTGACATGATTATATGGTGTAAATATGACTAAAAATGATTTTTTAATTAATACTCTATTATACTAGTTCAATAATAATTCAAAATATTTTAATAAGGCTTTTATGAAAGTCTCTTAGTCTATTTTCTTGTCTTAATAGCAAATAGATAAAAGTTAGTATTTTTACCTTTTAGGATATAGGAACTCTTTTACTGCCTTAGAAAGGCCATAAATTGATAAAATAAGGATAGAAGAAGTAAATGGTTGATATGGTTGATACTAGGGTCAAGTTGAAGGTAGGATTGGACTAAAAAAATCCTTAGGATAGGTTAGATTGATACCCGGGGGTCAACCATTTGTGAGACAGGGTCAAAATCAAACCTATGGTCACTAAAACAATCGCCTAGGGCAAATTAGGGGAGCATTTGAAGATCAAAGGTTAGGATTTGAGAGCTAGCTTTAAGCTCTTTCTAGAGGCATAAGGGTGGTTTTTGTGGCATTTTTGAAGACTTGGCAATTGTTGTTCAAAGTCAGGGTTTGCATTGGTGATTTGGGTTTTATATAATATAACTAGGGCTAGCAATTTTGGCTAGTTCATGCAATTGATGTAACATCTATGGTTCAAAATTTGAAACTATTTGGATTATTGAGTGTGCAAAGTGTTTACAATACTTTGTAATAATCTAACGGTGTAGTTTAGAGATATCTGATTTTTAGCACAAGAGGGTTTCAAAAGTTGGCAGTTTGGGATTGGATAGGGTTTCTATGATATCTAGAGATCTATTGGTCGTATCAAGGTGAAATTTGGCATGGTGTTGAAGGATTTGAAGATCAAGGTGTACACAAATTTTGAGTCAAAGTTAATAGTTGAAGAAGGATAAATCATTGCTAGAGATTTTTGCTTCACTTTTTAAGTTGGAAGCTGAGTGATATTAGTGTAATTTTTGGAGGTTTTCTCACAATCTATTTGTCAGATTGGGCTGAAAATTCTTGAACATATAGAAGACTTACATTGACAATTGCATGCAAAATTCTACATCAAGTTGAAGGTTAGATTAGAATTTATAGCTTGTTAAAGCTCACTAATTAGAATTGGAGCTTATAAGAAAAATCTAAATTGCTTAAATATGAAAGTAACAAGGTAATTGAGGTTTATGTGTGATTGAGGCTACTAAGAAAAGTGATTTTTAGCACTTTTGAATCAAAATTTGAATTATTCTTCTCATATGAGTGAAACCTATTAGGATTTTTTGGATGTTTGTGAAATACAACCTCACCTTTTATAGCTAGGTGTCTGGTGCATTCCCAAGTAAGATAACACATAATGCAACAACAAAGTTTAGGAGAAGAAAGTGTTTAAACTTCTTGATAGAGAAAATCCTAGTATGGCATTCTTGTTCTATGGTAGTGTAATTCCTTTCCACCAGATTTAATTATCTATTATTAAAGGTAATGGAATAGTCTTTGCTTTTCTTTCTACTTGCTTGATACAATGTGCTTCATATTGCCACCAATAAAGCATCATAGAGCTCTTGGAAGGATAATGACGAATTGGATGGTTGTAATGTAGGGAAGGTACTAAGTTTTCTTTTAAGGATATCAAATGCATTTTGATATTTTTTTCCTCTCTCAAATTTCACCTCTTTTTGTATTAGACAAATAATAGACATGAAAAGTATAGCATAGTCTTGTATGACTTCTTTATACCATTCAATGTGTCCTAAGATTCTTTGCACTTTTTTTACTATTGAAAGAAAACTTAATTCAAAAATTACATTGATTTTCTCTTGGTTGAGTTTCCTATCTTTTTTTGATATTACACATCCTAGTAAGACTCTCTTTTTAACTGCTAAGAATATTTTGTTAGGATTCAAAACTATCCTAGCATTTTTATACCTTTGAAGACTAGCCCTTATACAATCATGATGTGATGTCTTAGAGGACTGGATGCTAAAATCATCAATGAACATTGTCATTGATTTATATAATAGATGTGAGAAGGTATATGACATTGTTCTTTGAAATGTCATAGGAGTATTACAAAATTCAAAAGACGTGACTACATAAATGAAGGTGCCTCAATATATAGTGAAGATTGTTTTATGGTCATCTTTTGGAGGTATAGAGTTTTGATTGTAACATAAATATCCATCCATAAATGTATATAATTTGTACCTAGCTATTTCTACTAGGATGGTATTTATAAATGGGAGGAAAAAATAAACTTTTTGAGTGTACTTGTTAAGCTTCTTATAGTTAATATACACTGAAAGTTTTCCATTCTTCTTTTTAATTAATCTCATTGGTGAAATCTAATCCATAATTTCTATAGATTGAATAAATTAAGCTTAAAAGATTTTTTTAAATTATGCCTTAATAAATAATTAAAAATTAGGATTCATTCTTTTTACTTTTTGTTTCATAGGAATTAAATTGAGAAAGAAATAGATTCTATGTTGGATGACTTTTCGAGATATGAGCTTAAGATTATTATAAGATCAAGCAAATACATCCCTATATTCCATAATTAATGACTTATAACTTGTCAATTGAATCTCTACTTTGATGAATTTTTGATCTTCAATTTCTAAAGGTATATCCATCAATTTGTAATCAAGGTTGTACACATGAGATTATTTTATGGGACCTCTATATCAATCATTCAGAATTCGTAGATAAATAGCCATATCATTTCTTACCATAAGACTACTAATAGTTTGTTTAAATTATAAGTGAAATAGGATCAATCTATTTTGAGAGTCTAATACTCTTTTAATCCACAATTACATAAAATTTCATCACAAAGTAGGAAAAAATGGACCAAAACAAAATTGAATAGAACTAAACAAAATAGGACACAAAAGACAAAACTATGCAAATAAAAATAGAATAAAATGGAGTTGAATAGAAAGATGTAAAATCAAACTTTACTAAGAAAGAAGGTCAAAAGCCATTCTTGATTAGATGCCTAGAAGGCTCTCGCCAATCCTATTTATACTTTATTTTATTATTCAAGACTTTCTAAAATATTCTTAGATGATAGATCCTACTTAGATAATCACCTTAAATTCCTTCTTGAATGTTTTATAGTGAGCCCTACCTAGATAATTGTCCTAAGCTCTTTCTAGAATGTTCCATATTAGATCCTACATGGTCCACTAACCTAGCCCCAATTCTAAAAACTTTCATAATTTCTCAAGTATGGTTCTAACTATCTATTCTTATGTGCCAATAATACAAATATCTTATACATATCTTGTTATAATTAATCCTCTTTGACTAATATAAAATGTCTTTGTTTTGCTTTTGATGGTATTTCCAAATTATCTCTTGGTAATAGATGAGGTTTTGTGCAGGTTTCCATATTGTATCATAGATAGGATAACCTTTCTAGAGAACTTTGTATTGAAGTTGTGGATGTCCACTACCACAGCAAAGGTAACAATGCTCCAAAATGCTATCTACTTCATATTTTTCTTGGTCATCAATTACAATAGGTCGTAGTAGTTGGTATCAATTTGAAAAATACTTTGGGTTGGTAAAAATTCCTTCAGTTACAAAATATGAAAGATTGGATAGACTTGAATATGTGACAAAAGCTTAAAATAGTATATGACATCAAAAATCATTGTAGAAATGTAAAAAGGTCCAAGCCACAGAGGTGCTAATTTACGGATTTGGATTGATGTAGCAAGTGGCAAGTTGGCATTAGAGAGCAATACTTGATCACTCTCTTAGAAGATCTTGTATTGTTGATGGCTATCCGCATACTGCTTTTATCAATTTTGTGCAGTAAAGAGGTAG